GGACTCTTTGTCCTTCTACTCAAACAATTTATCACTTAATCTCTAATTCTCTTAATTGCATCTTAAATGCTACTGCTTTTGACATGTTATCTAATCTTGTTTCTAATTTATACCAAGAAATTTTTATACTTAACTATTTTAAACTGCATAACTTTTCTCATATACTATCCCTTATCTCTACTTTATCTGGTCTAGTTCCCATTGAACTTATTTCTACTATTCACAATACTTCTATTCCTTACTGTACAGCTACCTTACTTTCTATTAAATTTCTTCTTCATTTAAACCAACAAATATACAAACAAATATGGATCTCATATTGCATTTCATGATCAGCACAGTCTTCAACTACACCTCTTACAAACTCAACTTATAATTCTCCTTCTAGTTTATCATTTCCTCCTATCTTAATACCACAAATTATTACTAGAATTGATCTTTGGGCTATCCAATGAATTAAATATCATATTCCTCTCCCATATATTATTACTAACACCCAAATCTAGGTAAGCCTTGGCCACTCTTGTAGGTTTAGGTCAAAGATTATATGTCAGAGTCTTTATTCTTCATATGTAATTTAAAAGCAAGCTTTTTTTTGTAAAAACTTTAATTGAATTTCAATAAAGTTAAAGGCATGGCCTCACCGTTAATATTTAAAAAAAAAAAAAATTTTAATAAGATGTTAAAAATATATAATTGCAATGAAGATTTTTTAAAAAAATAGAATTGACAAAATTATAAACTTTAGTTGTATTTTGTAATAGTAATAAAATTGCTTAAAGTTGTAGTAAATATTTCTAGTATTATTATTAAGAATATAAGGTGTCTTGTATGAAAAGAGAACATTTTTATATATAAACAATTTTGAGTCAATAAGATTTAAAAATTGCAGCTTATCATGTGATCATCCAAAATTACAATCTAAAAATAATATAGAAAATTTCATACAATAATTTCTTGTTAATGATTCTTGTTTTAAATCTAGCACTAGTGAGTTATAATTCAATAATTATTTTCTTTATTCTGTTTTTTTGAATTTTATTAATTAATTTTTTTGTCTTTAGTCTTTCTTGTGATCTTCTCTGGTCTTCTGACTTTTCTAGTAATTTAATTATATTATTTATTTTTATTTTGTTCTTTCAAATTTTACTAATTAATTTTCTTAGTCTTCAGGCCTTTTAGCAATTTTCTTATAAAATTTCTTGTGGTCTCCTCTAGTTTTCTGGCTTTTTGATAATTTTAATTGTGTTATTGGGTTTTTTCTGTTCTTCCAGATTTTACTAATTAATTTTCTGTCTTCAGGTCTTTCATCGATTTCTGGTGAAATTTCTTATGATCTCTCTTGGTCTTCAGCTTTTTGGTAATTTTAATTGTGTTGGGTTTTTTTTTCTGTTCTGGATTTTACTAATTAATTTTATGTTTTCAGGTTTTTCAATTTTCTAGTGAAATTTCTTGTAATCTTCCTTGGTCTTCTGGCTTTCTATAATTTTAATTGTATTGTTGGGTTTCTTCTGTTCTTCTAAATTTTACTAATTAATTTTCTTTTCTTTAAGTCTTTTGATGATTCTGATGAAATTTCTTGTTGTCCCCAGCTTTTATAATAATTGTAATTATTTTTTTTCTGTTTTTTCAGATTTTACTAATTAGTTTTCTTTTCTTTAGGTCTTTCAATGATTTTCTAGTGAAAATTCTTGTAGTCTCCTAGCTTTTCTGATAATTTAATTGTGTAATTACGTTTTTTTTGTTCTTCCAGAATTACTAATTAATTTTCTTTGTTTTCACATTTTTCAGTGATTTTTTTGTGAAATTTCTTGTAGCCTCTCTGGTCTTTTGGCTTTTTGGTAATTTTAATTATGTTGTTGGGTTTTTTTTGTTTTTCTGGATTTTATTAATTAATTTTCTTTTCTTTAGGTCTTTCAATGATTTTGGTGAAATTTCTTATAATCTTCTAGCTTTTATGATAATTGTAATTGTTTTTTTTTCTGTTTTTCTAAATTTTACTAATTAGTTTTTTTTTTTAGGTCTTTGTTGATTTTTTGGTAAAATTTCTTGTGGTCTTCCAGCTTTTCTGGTAATTTAATTGTGTTATTGGGTTTTTTTTGTTCTTCCAGAATTACTAATTAATTTTCTTTGTCTTCATGTCTTTTGACAATTTTTTTGTAAAATTTCTTGTAGTCTTCTTGGTCTTCAGCTTTCTGGTAATTTTAATTGTATTGTTGGAGGTTTTCTGTTCTTTCAAATTTTACTAATTAATTTTCTTTGTCTTCAGGTCTTTTGTCGATTTCTGGTGAAATTTCTTGTGATCTCTTCTGGTCTTTCAACTTTTTGGTAATTTTGGTTATATTGAGGTTTTTTTTGTTCTTCTGGATTTTATTAATTAATTTTCTGTCTTTATGTCTTTCAGTGATTTTCTGATAAAATTTTTTGTAGCCTCTTCTAAACTTCTGACTTTCTGGTAATCTTAATTGTATAGTTTGGTTTTTTTTTTTTGTTCTTCTGGATTTTACTAATTAATTTTTTGTCTTTAGGTCTTTTGGCAATTTTCTGGTAAAATTTTTTGTAGTCTTCCTAGTTTTTTAGCTTTCTGGTAATTTTAATTGTTATTGTTTGGGTTTTTTCTGTTCTTTCAGATTTTACTAATTAGTTTTCTTTTTTTAGGTCTTTTGACAATTTTGGTGAAATTTCTTGTAGTCTCTCTGGTCTACCAACTTTTTCGGTAATTGTAATTGTGTTGCTGAATCTTGTTTTTGTTCTTCTGGGTTTTACTAATTAAATTTTCTTTGTTTTTAGGTCTTTCAATAATTTTTTGTAAGATTTTTTGTAGTCTCTCCTGATTTTTCAGCTTTTCTAATACTTTTTTTTAACAATTTTTGATGAAATTTCTTATGGTCTCTTGGTCTTTTGGTTTTTTTGGTAATTTTGTATTATTGAAGTTTTTTTCTGTTCTTTAGATTTTATTAATTAATTTGTATTTTGATAATTTTCTGATGAAATTTCTTGTAGTCTTCTTGGTCTTCTGGTTTTTTTGATTTTTCTGATCTTTCAGCATTTTACTAATATGCTCTTTAAGTTTTTTCTGAATTTGGACTGTTTTGAGTTTTTTAATGTTTTACTAGTAAATTTTCTTGTAGTTTTTGGATCTAGAGAATTACATGAAGTCTCTTTAGTAAATATTAAAAATAGTCTTTGGTCAACATTTTATTGTTGAATTTTATAAGTTTTTTTAAGAATTTTGATGTTTACTGAAAGATTTCTTATAGTTTTTTTTTTTTTTTTTTTTTTTTTTTTTTTTTTAAGAGTGAGGCCTGGCCTCGGTCTTTATTGAACAATTTGGTAT